AGGCAGTGCAGAGGGAATGGTGGATGGTGAGGGTCCTTAAGGCTTTGAACCACGAGGGATGGAGGCTGCTGAGTTTCCGGTTGGCACGCTCCAGGTGCAGCTGCTGCAGCTAGGTGACTTTTGAGTCGACTCAAAAGTCACCTCGTTACAATGGATGGTGAGGGTCCTTAAGGCTTTGAACCACGAGGGATGGAGGCTGCTGAGGTGCCAGTTGGCACGCTCCAGATGCAGCTGCTGCAGCCGCGGGCAGTGCTGGAGAAACACTGGGGAGATGCGCTCGTGCTGCTCTGCTGCATGCCGCTGCTGCTCCTCATGCTGCTGCTGCTGCTGCTGCTGCTACTGCTGCTGCTGCTGCTCCTCATGCTGCTGCTGCTGCTGCTGTTCCTGGGCATGCCCATATGGGTCTTCCCAGTGGGATGCATCCGTGGGAGTGGGCCCCAGACGAAGGGAGGTGAGGGAGTGGCCAGAGGCTCTCATGGTGCTGCCGAAGCTGTGCAGGTCCGCCACGGTGTGGAAGCGCAGGTGGGCTTTCGAGCTCTGATGGGTGGGGAGAGAGAAGCACTGGGGATGAGGTGAGGAGGGTTTTTCGAAAATTCTCAAAAAACACAGAGGCTATCATTGTGTGGCCGAAGCTGTGCAGGCCCACCAAGGTGTGGTGTGGAAGCGCAGGTGAAGTTCCGGGCTCTGATGGGTGGTGAGAGAGAAGCACCGGAGATGAAGTGAAGAGCGGGAGAGGTAAGAAATTTAGAGAACACGCACACACACACACACACACACACACACACACACACACACACACACACAACGGCTAGCATGGTGCTGCTGAAGCTGTGCAGGTCAGGCAAGGTGTGGAAGCGCAGGTGGGCTTTTGAGCTCTGATGGGTGGGGAGAGAGAAGCAGTGGAGATGAAGTGAAGAGTGGGAGAGGTGGGAATTTTAGAGAACACAAAGGGGCTAGCATTGTGTTGCTGAAGCTGTGCAGGTCAGGCAAGGTGTGCAAGTGTAGGCGCACTTCCTAGCTCTGGTGGGTGGGGAGAGTGAAGTACCGGTGATGAGGTGAAGAGCTTTTTCTGAGAATTCTAAAACAACACAGAGGCTCTCATTGTGCCGCTGAAGCTGTGCAGGTCCACCAAGGTGTGGTGTGGAAGTGCAGGTGGGCTTCCGAGCTCTAAGGGGTGGGGAGAGAGAGAAGCACTGCAGATGATTAGAAGGGCAGGAAAGGTGAGATCACGGAGATGAGAGGAGGAGAGGAGGGAGGAGGGAAATGTAAGAAGATTTGATCTCCTGTCTGCAGCACCCACTCTCATTCCACGCCCTTCTCACCCCTCTCATCCCTCTCACCCCTCTCATCCCTCTCACCCCTCTCACCCCTCTCACCCCTCTCAACCCTCTCACCCCTCTCATCCCTCTCATCCCTGTCATCCCTCTCGTCTCGTCCCTCTCGTCCCTCTCGTCCCTCTCGTCCCTCTCGTCCCTCTCGTCCCTCTCGTCCCTCTCGTCCCTCTCGTCCCTCTCGTCCCTCTCGTCCCTCTCGTCCCTCTCATCCCTCTCATCCCTCTCATCCCTCACCCTAAACCCTAAATCCGAAACCCTAAACCCTAACCCCTGAACCCTGAGCCCATGCATTCTCTTTCAGGCCGCCCTCATCCTCTCGGATAGCCATCGCCAGCGGAGACCGAGGGCCGCGGAGACTGAGGGCAACGGAGACAGAGGGCGGCAGAGACAGAGGGCGGCGGAGACAGAGGGCGGCGGAGACAGAGGGCGGCGGAGACTGAGGGCGGCGGAGACAGAGGGCGGCGGAGACTGAGGGCGGCGGAGACTGAGGGCAGCGGAGACAGAGGGCGGCGGAGACAGAGGGCGGCGGAGACAGAGGGCGGCGGAGACAGAGGGCAGCGGAGACAGAGGGCAGCGGAGACAGAGGGCGGCGGAGACAGAGGGCGGCGGAGAAAGAGGGCAGCGGAGACAGAGGGCGGCGGAGACTGTGGGAGGCGGAGATAGAAGGCGGCGGAGACTGAGGGCAGCGGAGACAGAGGGCGGCGGAGACAGAGGGCGGCGGAGACAGAGGGCGGCGGAGACAGAGGGCAGCGGAGACAGAGGGCAGCGGAGACAGAGGGAGGCGGAGACAGAGGGCGGCGGAGACTGAGGGCGTTTGAGACAGAGGGCGGCGGAGACAGAGGGCAGCGGAGACAGAGGGCAGCGGAGACAGAGGGCGGCGGAGACAGAGGGCGGCGGAGACAGAGGGCGGCGGAGACAGAGGGCAGCGGAGACAGAGGGCGGCGGAGACAGTGGGAGGCGGAGACAGAGGGCGGCGGAGACCGAGGGCGGCGGAGACTGAGGGCGGCGGAGACTGAGGGCGGCGGAGACTGAGGGCGGCGGAGACTGAGGGCGGCGGAGACTGAGGGCGGCGGAGACTGAGGGCGGCGGAGACTGAGGGCGGCGGAGACTGAGAACGACGTGCACACGCTCTCCAGAAGGACTTTGATGCGCCTAAAAAAAGCCGCGTGAGCTGAGACGACTTCTGAGGAGCCGCAAAAGTCGGCGAAGAGTGGAGGACGGCGTGCACAGGTTCTCTAGAAGGGCCGCTAAAAGCAGAAAACAAAATGTTTGCTGGAAGAAGCTACCAAACGACAGCGCCACGCCGGAACGGGGAGAGGATGGGTCGTCTCGGAGTCGCTCGGATGCACTACGTCTCCAGGTGATGCCGCGACTGAAGCAGACCTAGGACCATGTGGCAGTCACAGGATTTAGAACCAACAGTCCGTGAACTGAAATCTAAAATGCCCGTTACATGGCTGTGCGGGGTTCGTTATGCTGAATGGCTCGAAGAAATCCACCCTCCATGTCTTGATGTCGAAATTCGTCAGATCCAAATGGACTCAGGCGAAAAACTTGCAGCAGGTAACGTGCTTGTGTCGCAAGTGGTGCTGACTTCGCTCTTATCTGACTTGATTCACACAGTTGCTGAAACTCTGATGCCCACGAGTTTTTCAACGGTGAAATAAAGTTTTACATCGGAAAAGAAGGATATTGAGCAAACGAAGGGAAAATTGATCCACCCTTCAGATAACCAAGCCACGGGGGACAATGCGAACTTGGTGCCAAAGCAAATTCGGATCTCAACTAGAGTATTGCTGCAACTATCAAACCTTGGTTGTTTCGATTTAGATGGGCAACACAAACCACCGAAGAGAACGAAGCGGATGATGCCAAGGAATATCCTAGCAGAAACGGGTCGTCAGGCCTTTCAAACCATTGACGACTTGACAACATGCTGCCCCGGGCATAAAAAAACTAAAACCCTATCGGATGGCATGCCATCCGAGGGAGACATCTGTCAAAGTAACGAACGAGAATGAATGAACCCCACTACAGCCTACACAAATGTATAAGCTATAATGTTCTGACGAACCCCCTCAGGCAAAGTGGGGGAGAACAAGTGGTCACAAGACCAGTCAAGAAAAGCAAATCAAGCTCAGGGTGGATCACAAAGTCACCACACAGTCCGAGCACAAGCAAAGGGCCACGTAGGCTTAGTGGGGTACACACTGTGGGGTACAACCCCTTGGGTTTCTTCTTTGTACCAACCCTCTCGATAGTCGATATCACTTTTTGCCTAAGATTCTAACAACATGTAGAGTTATATAAAGAGAACAAACAAGACAGTGATCATACCCTAGCAAGTGCAAGCAAGCAGGTATATATATAGATCACAGTACAAGCAGAGTCAAGCAGTAAGCAAGTGAGGCAAAGTAGGCACAAGGCCTAACACAGTAACAAAGCGCTGATGATCACCACGCGGAAGTGCCTTGGTGAAGACATCAGCAGTGTTGGCCCGAGTGGTCACGTAAGCAAGACGAAGCTGGCCACGCTGCTGCAACTCTCGAGCAAGGAAGTATCGCAAAGCGATGTGCTTCGTTCTGTGCTCCAGTCTGTGCTCCTGACACAAGGCAATCATGGCCTTGTTGTCTACGTACAGAATTGGAGGCGAACGAGGCTGCTCTCCCAAGTCGGTCAGCAAGTAGGTGAGCCAGCGGAGCTCCTGAGCAGCCATAGCCCCGGCGTAGATCTCAGCCTCACAACTGGAGCTGAGAACCGAAGACGAGCGGGTAGACTGCCACGACACAGAGCCAGAACCAAGACTGAAGGTGTAACCCTGTGACGACCGCTGCGTAGCTGAGTCGTCAACCCAGGAGGCGTCTGCGTGACCGGTGAGAACAACTGGACCCCGTCCTCCAAGCACGAGCCCCATGCCCGACGTACTGCACAGGTAACGCAGTACCCTCTTCGCAGCATCCCAGTGCACCTTTCGGTGCCTACCGGGAGCCACGTAGCGAGCCAGAAGGCTGAGAGGGTACACGAGGTCAGGTCGTGTGCAAGTCATCAGGTACATGAGGCAACCCACAAGCTCTGGGTACGGACCACTCGGCTCTACGGACTCGTCCGAAGGTGGAGCTGAGAGTGAGTGGCTGGTAGACAGAGGAGTGGGCTGTGGCGAGGAGAACTGGAAGCCAAAGCGCTGAAGGACCTGGTGCACCATGTGTGACTGAGTCAGGGTAATGGTGCGCCGAGCTATGTCCCGGGTGATCCGCAAGCCAAGATAGCTGCGCAGTTCACCCAGGTCAGTGCAGGTGTGTCTCTTCTGCAGCTCCGACTTCACAAGGGTCAAAGCCTCAGTGTCAGGAGTGGCAAAGACGAGGTCGTCGACGTAGACGAGGACGTAGAACGGCGGCAGCGAGGTGTCGGTGCGTAGAAACAGCGACGGGTCCGCAGTAGAAGGAGCAAACCCAAGAGCCGCAAGTGTAGTCCTCAGTGTGTCGTGCCACTCGCGAGGTGCCTGACGGAGACCGTAGAGTGGCCGCCGAAGACTCCACTGAGTACCTGCAGGGAAAGACTCAGTGAAACCAGATGGGCGGCGCAACCAGATCTCCTCGTGCAGGCTGCCCTGCAGAAACGCTGTGCTGAAGTCCAGAGAGTGCAACTCGTAGTCACGCTGAGCAGCGACGTGCAGCAACACCCGAAGAGTAGTCATCTTCGGGGTGGGGGAGAAGGTCTGGAAGAAGACAACTCCCTGTCGCTGACTGAAGCCTAGAGCAACGTAACGCGCCTTGAAGGCAGGCGGAGAACCTGGCGGCCGCTTCACCCTGAAGATCCACATGCCATCGACTATGTTCGCCCCAGGTGGGGAAACCTCGTCGACGTAGGTGCCTGTGGACTTCCAGGATGCCATCTCTGCATCCATGGCTGCCTGCCACTGAGAGGAGTACGGACCCGTAATCGCCTCTGCGTAAGAGCGCGGGGTCGGGATGTCTGGTGCATCCGGGTCTCCCTCAGGGGCAAGCAGCATGGAAGCGAAACGAGGTACAGCAGCTGCAAGACACTCAAAGTCCTCCTGCCTGTCCTCAAGGACGTCCGTGCCAAGAGCACACTCACCCCCGACGGACGGAGGACTGGCACACATAGACTCAGCAACTAGAGCAGTGGCGTAGTCGAGACGGCAGGAAGCAGCAAAGTCAAGCAGCTCAGCAACGAGACCAGACGCAGCAGCAGACTCAAAGGAAGGGTCTATGACAGCAGTGGCGAGAAGACGAGAGACAGTAGGACTAACAGCACGAGCGCAGTCAGACTCAGGGTCAGGGACCTCAGGAAGAGAGGACTCAGGAGGAGCAGGCAGAGGAATACGCAGTGGAACAGAGGAAGGACGGAGTGCCATAGCGTGCGTGCCGGGAACAGGAGGAGGACGCGAACGAGGAGCGCGACGAGCAGTGCGAACAGGCGAGACAGGACGAGACGCAGGCTCACGACGCTCTGTAAGACCGCCTGACTGCTCAGTGTAGGAAAGAGGGAGCAGGGAGCGGGGAGACGGGCTGTAACGGCGACTGCGATTGGTCAGGCGGATGACACAGGAGAGGAGGAGTAAGGCCGGTAGAAGACGGGGTACAAAGAACCTGCTGAAGCAGGGGAACGAAGTACGGTCGCGGCCGCTCAGTGCCTCCAGCACCTCCAGCGCAAGGGTCAACAGCTCCAGTGTCTCCAGCTCCAGCTCCGGCAGCTCTAGCGCCGCCTGCGACAGGGCCTACAGCTCCAGCACCCTCAACACCATTAGTCCCGGCAGCTCCAATACCCTAGGTACGAGCACCTCCAGGACCAGGGGTCGCAGCACCTCCAGCACCTCTAGCTCCAGCAGCAACTCCAGCACCTCCAGCTCCAGCAGCTCCAGCACCTCCAGCCCCGGTGGCTCCACTCCAAAGGCGTGCGCGTCGAACAAACCACTCACACAGCTGCTGCGGAGACAATCTCGGCGAAGCACCAGCAGAACCTCCAGAGGAAGCAGCACCCTGAGGCTCAGCACCCCCAGACTCCGCACCCTCCGACGCAGCACCCCCAGGCTCAACACCCTCAGGCTCAGCACCCCCAGTCCCAACAACACCAGGCTCAACACCCCCAGTCTCAGCACCCTCAGACCCAGCACCCCCAGTTTCAGCACCCTCAGACCCAGCACCCCTAGGCTCCGCACCCCCAGACACAGCAACCCCAGACGCAGCACCTCGAGCAGCACCTGAGCCGACAGCT